ATTACATGACTAATTTATTTTTTGTTTGTTAGTGGAGTACTGGTAGAGGCCTAAGGCCATTAGCCATTGCATGAGACTTTTTGTTCAAATAATATTATTTTGCCCTTGTATTCAATTGTAAATTTATTGTAAAGTCTAACTTCTAGTGAAGACTTTGCTAAACAAAATTTTAAAACTTATTATTCGGCCCTTTGTTCTATATGGAAATGCTAAAGAATATAAAGTTAACTTCAAATAAGAGGGATGCTTGGCCCTTTTCCATGCTAAATTTTTAATATAGAACTTATTGTTGGAATTGCCAAATTTCCATGCTTGACTCTATTTTTAATATAGAACTCTAAAAAATATTCTCAAAAAAATTGAGAATTGTGCCTACATCAATCTTATTAGGCTAGTTTATTTCTTGTGAATTAAATTATTGTAATTGCATTACTAGCTTATTTTATGTATGCTGATGGAGTGCTGGTGGAGGCTTGAGACCAATAGGTATTGCATGAGACTTTTTTTTTGAAATAATATTATTTTTCCCTTATATTTTTCATTGTAAATTTATTAAAAAGTCTAACTTTTAGGGGAGACTTTGTCAAAAAAATTTTAAAACTTAATGTTTTGCCCCCTCCTCTATATGGAAAGGGCCAAAAAATATAGAGTTGGCTTCCCTCCTACTTATTAGATAGGAGGGAAGCCAACTCTAAAAAATATTCCAAAAAAAATTAAAAATTTTTGTGTTAGAATGCTTATTTCTTTTTTATATATATATATAAACTAGTTATTTGGCCCTATCTTGATGAATTTAGTGATAATCCATGAACTTTGTTAGGTTTTAGAAAGACAAATGAAACATGGATCGTAGTTAGATAAATGCCAAACAAACGAGCCTAGAGTATATTAATAAGGTTAAGGGGTTTCTAGATTTTGCTTAAAGCAATGCTAAAGATGATAGTGGGAGATTTTATTATCCTTGTAGGGATTGTTTGAATGAGAGGTAGCTAAGCGCATATAATATATACAAACACTTAATTTGTGAGAGGTTTCTCAAAAGTTATAGAGTTTGGATGTGGCATGGTGAAAGACTAAACATGCCAATACTGAGTACATCTCAATCATGGGATGTTGATGTTGATGTTGTTGTTGACGATGATGATGATATGGTTGATCAATTAGAGGACATGATCCATGATATAGGTAAAGAGGCTTTTGAGCAATCTTAAGTATACAATAATATGTGCAGTAATGCAAAGACACCTTTGTTTTAATTTATTATTTTTTGGTTCATTTTAGTGATATATCATTGTCTTTATTAGATAACAAATATTTCATAATTCTAAATTACAAGAAAGGAGGAGAAAGGCATAAGAAGTTGGAAGGAAGAATAATTGCCCCAAACAAAGTTTTATGGTGGTTATGTGTTGGCCGACAAGGAATTGATGGATGCTAAGAGGAGGAAGAGAGAAGAACAAGCTCAATTAGATCCTTATATTCTACTGTCTCTACCACCTTTAATACGTCACAATAAGAGATGGATTTATGATCATCACAAGAAGGACAAGGCCTTTTAAACTAAGCATGCTTGTAAGGTTACTCAAAAAATTGTAAGTATAGTTGTCATTTGTAATCTTATTTTAAATATAAAATATTACTGTTTGTTATTTGTATATTATAGGATGAGCTTAAATAGAAGCTGCAACATTCTTACTCCACTAAACATAATTAATCAATATAACATCTAGTAATCAAAGACTTAACTCAACAAGATGATTACCCAAATTTAATTTAAAAGTAAGGGATCCTAAGTTTTCTAAATAAAAATGAGTTAAAATCGATCAAAATCTTTCATATCAGAGTAAAAACAAATTATGGAAGCATGGGATACCTCATAGGAGTGAAAGAAGTCAAAAACGGTTGAAAAACAAACATGTGCTATAATACAGGGCAATGCGCCGCAACTCATGCACGCTGCACCATGGTATGTTGCTCTTTATGCCACGCGCCATGACGTGTTGCACGAAATTTCTACTAATTCTCCTGTCATTTGACATATGGATTTTCTTTACTCTAAATCCCTAGGCGAACTCCCATTACTGATCATGCCATAATCAATACTCACTCATTTTCACCTTTTTCGCTTTCATATACTCATTATTACAACAATTACGTTGGGCTCACGACCATGCTCTACTCAAGTATGTATTCTCATCATTTTCATAAAATTCATTTCTCATTAACACACATCTATCTCACATAATCATCACATTCATTTTCACATAATCTACTAGCTTCTAAGCTTAAATTTCCAATCTAATAAGTGTCCAAGAGCCAAAACTACAATCAACTAAGTTGAATTTCATCAACATAACCAAACCAAGCATTTGAACCCTTAATCTCTCCTTCTAAATTGTCCAACCTTTACTCTATATGAGTTGGAGCCTATCCATTTGTTTAATAATTACCTTTAGCCTCCAATAGCATTAATGAGCCATTAAATCCCCATTAATGGCATCAAAACTTTCAACCACCCATAATAAATGAGATCTTTGAATATTTATGGTGTCCGACAACCCAAAATACCAAAACTCATTATACCTAGGTTTAGATAATCTAATCTACTCCCATTAACTCTATTTGAGTCAACAAATTCAGATCCGTACCTTATATGGATTGAAATCACCATCCTCATCTAAACCCTAACTCAAATCCTTGAGAAAATGAAAGAGGAAAGGAGGAAAAGGACTTAGAAATCTTATCTTGGATGATTTAGAGCTTTAAACCTCCTCAAATTCTCATCTAAGTCGTGCTCTAGCAGAGCATTGGCGTGTCTCTCCATTTTCCTCTTTTCTTCTCCCTATTCTGTCTCATTTCACATCTGGTAAACTGTATAAAATGGCCATACACCACGGCGTATGGCATAGAGAGGTCCTCCCTCATTCAAAAATGTCTGTGCACCGTGGCGGACTATCTCCATACCATGGCATGTGGCACAACAACATCAACATTTCCTTTTGTTCTCCTTTTGATGGTCGGGTGGCCATCTTAATACCAAACCCACAACTAGGGCTGAAATACTATCAAATATGATTATTAAACCTCTCTGGCCACACACACCCCTTTAACTTACTTAATTATCCTAATTAGGCTTAATTAATCAGATGATTAAAAGTCAGGATGTTACAATAGGAATTTTATCTCCAAAATTCACTTAATCTAGCAAAGTTAATAAAACCTTAACTCACTAAAACAAGTAAGGATACTAGTTTTTTTATCTTCTCTTCAATTTTCCACACAGTATTATCAGATGTCATCCCTTTTCAAATGACTTTCACGAGTCGAATTGTCTTCTTTCTCAGCTGTTTCTTCTTACTATCGATAATTTTCTCTGGTTCAGCCCTAATATGTCAAATTCTCATACAACTCCACATCCTCATGCTTAATCACATATGAAGGGTCAGGTTGATATTTCTTCAATTGAGACGCATGGAATACATCATGTACACCTGACAGATGAACAAATAAGGCAATCTAGTATGCCAAAGGCCTAATTCTCTCAAGAATTTCAAATGGCCCAATAATTTTGGAGTCAATTTCTTTGCATGAATAAACTCCCAATTCCAGTCATAGATGTGACCTTCAGAAATACATAGTCCCACTATAAACTCTAACGGTCTCCTCTACTTATCTGCATAGCACTTCTGTCAACTCTAAGCAGTCAATAACTTTTAACAAATAGTCTCAATCTTCTCAGTGGTTTGATCCACCAAATCAGGACCCATTATGCATCTCTCACTTAACTCGGTCTAGCAAAGTAGCGATCAACACTTCCTGCCATACAAGGCTTCATATGGAGCCATTTGAATGCTCGTATGGAAACTATTGTTATAAGAGAATTCCGCTAAAGGTAGGTGCTTATCCCAACTACCACTCTACTCGATGGCACAAGCACGTAGCATATCCTCTAGAGTCTAGATGGTCCTCTCAATTTGACCATTTTTCTGAAGGTGATAAGCTATACTAAACTTTAATTTCATACCTATAGCCTTATGCAGTGCTTTCTAGAAGTTTGAGGTGAACCTCGGATCGCGTTATGACACAATTTCTTTCGACACCTCATGTAACCTCACAAGCTCTTGAATATAGACCTCTGCAAGCTTCTTTAAGGTATAATTGGCTCTAATTGCTAAGAAATGAGTAGACTTGGTTAATCTATCCATAATTATCCAAATAGCATCATGGTTTACTTGGGTATATAGCAATCCCATAATGAAATCCATAAAAACACAATCCCATTTCCACATGGAAATCTATAATGGTGGTAGCAATCTTGGGGGTCTTTGGTATTCAATTTTCACTTTCTAACAAGTCAGGCATTGAGATACAGTATTCAATTTTCACCTTCTAATAAGTCAGACATTGAGATACATACTCTATCACATCCCTCTTCACACCAAGCCGCCACCACTGACTCTTTATGTCTTGATATATCTTGGTAGTTTCTGAGTGAATGGTGAACTTACTCCGATGAGCTTCAGCTAGAATGGTCTCTCAAACCCCTTTATCATCAGGTATACATACCCTATCTCTATACACTACCAACCTATAATCATTGAACTAAAAGTCCTTAGACTTGTTTGCCTCAATATCATCTCTAATCCCTAATAGATACTTGTCTTCAAGCTGAGCTTTTCTTAAGTCTTTCCAAAATTCATTGGTGAGTACCATTGTATTCACATTGTACATGGCGAAATCTAGACTATTCTGGTATTACTAGAGAAATCCTCCAGTAGCTTGTACTCAGGGATCATCAACCTTGCAACATGTATTGTCTTATGACTCAAAGCATCAGCCACATTGGCCTTCCCCAGATGGTACTTCAACTCAAAATTATAATCTTTTAAAAATTCCATCCACCTTCACTGTCACATATTCAGCTCCTTTTAATTAATTAAATACTTGAGGCTCTTATGGTCACTGAATACCTCAAACCGTGAACCATAGAGAAAGTGCCTCTATATTTTCAAGGCAAATACAACTGCTACTAACTTAAGATCATGAGTTGGATAACTCTCCTCATGTGGTCTCAGCTGTCTTGATGCATAAGCTACAACTCTATCATCTTGCATTAGCACATAGCTTAGTCCCTTAAGTAATGCATCGGTGTAAACCACATATGGCCATTTAGGATCTGGAATAGTCAACATTAGCAATGTAGTCAACCTCTCCTTCAGAGTCTGAAATGCCTCTTCACACTTCTCCGTCTGAAGAAATGGTTGATCCTTCTTCGTTAACTTCATCAATGCAGAAGTAATCTGAGAGAACCCTTGGATAAATCTTTGATAATAGCTAGCTAAATCCAAGAAACTTCTTATCTCGATTACCAACGTTGGTCTCTCCTGCTGTAGTACTGCATTAGCCTTGTATGGATCCACTGCTATGCCATTAGCAAAAACGACATGTCCTAAAAATTTCACTTCTCATAGCCAAAACTCACACTTGCCCAGTTTGGTATACAAATTATGCTCTTACAACACTTGTAGCACTATTATCATATGCCTCGTATGTTCTTCCTCATCTCTAGAATATATCAAGATGTCATCAAAGAAAGCCACTACAAATTTGTCTAAGTAGGGTTTGAAGGTACTGTTCATGTAGTCCATAAAGATTGTAGGAACATTTATCAAACCGAAGGGCATTACTAAGAACTCATAGTGCTTGTATCGTGTCCTAAATGTAATCCTAGGCACATTATTTGCCTTAACCCTCAATTGGTGATGTCCAAACCTTAGATCAATTTTAAAGAAAATTATAGCTCTGATAAGTTGGTCAAGTAAGTCATCAATCCATGGCAACGAATACTTGTTCTTAATTGTCACTTCGTTGAGTTGCCTGTAGTCAATATACAACCTCATACTCCCATCTTTATTCTTTACAAATAACACAGGCAATCCCTACAGCGATGCACTCGGCCAGATGAATCCCTTCTCCAATAACTCTTCTAATTGCTTTTTCAATTCTTCTAGTTCTGCAAGAGCCATATGATATGGAGCCTTAGAGATTGGCTCGGTGCCAGGTACTAAATCAATCAAGAATTCAATCTTTTTTTTTGGTGGCAACCCTAACATTCAGTCATCAAATACCTCTGGGAACTCATTCATTACACCATTTTTATCAATTCCCCCGTCATACACTTCATGTGCAGAACAAGCCCTCTTTCACTGACTTCTCTACTTGTGAGGCTGACAAGAACTTAGGAGCGTCACAATCTACTACTAACAAAGACTTGATGGTTTTAGGGTTAACAGATATCGCTGTGTAAATTGGTAAAGAGACTGTCTTTCTATTACAGTCGAGTGTCGCATTATTGGCAACAACCAATCCATCCCTACTATCACATCAATGCCACTCAAAGATAAGCAAATTAAGTCAATAATAATGACTCTATCTTCAAACTTCAACTCAAGTTTTAAACAAGCTCGACCAGTCCCCACAGATGCACCAGTCGGCGTAGACACATTCATCAAAAATGGCATTTTAAGCACATACAAATTTAGCCTCTTAGCACACTCACTAAATATAAAAGAGTATGTGGCACCAAAATCAAATAAAGCATCTATAGCTAGTGACCACAAAGTGAGATTGTACCTCTAATTAGATTTGGTGAAGCCTCAGCCTCTTCTCTGGTTGTGGCAAAGACTCGCCCTGGGATAGTGGATCTCTGATTAGGAGCAGGTATGTTCTCTAGGCAAGACTTAGCTATGTGTCCCACCGTGTTACATTTAAAGCAAACCTAACATTACCCTTGGTGATGTTTCCCACATTTGTTGCATTACGAAGCTCTAACTAGCATCATAGCAGATGGAGTCGTAGATCCCTGTTAGGGCAGCTGATTTATGACCCCGTCCATACTCCTCAAGAGATTGCTCCTCTAGTTGGATCCCCTAGATTGGGACCCCTTCTGGAAGCTCTTCTTCTTACTTCCTCCAGAACTGTACCTCGTAGACATACTCGGGTTAAAACCCAACTTCTTACTCACTTCACCCATAGGGCCTGTGTAGGAAGAGAATCTCCCTTAACCATCTCTCTTCTTCTCTTTTACCACTCTACTACTTCTGGCTACAGCTTTGAACTTGTTGCACATAACCTCAAAGGAAGTAATGTTAAAAGCAGCTAACTGCTGGCTGAATTCAGGCCTCATCTTATCAAGAAACTACTCGACCTTCCAATACTCATCATTGTGATGACTCAGTAGGTGGAGTACTTCGATAGCTCATTGAACTTTGCTATAGACTCCTCCTCATTCATAATTCCTTACTAGAGTCTGTAAAATTTTTCCCCTTTCTCTACTCAAAATGAGGCAGAGAAGTAGTGGGTAAAGAACTGCCTCTTGAACTCCATCCATCTCAATTGTGAGCTATCTACCGGCCTTACACTTTCCCACCATTACTTTGCTGCATCCTCAAGCATGAAAGTGGTTAAGAGAACCCTCTGTTCAGTCATACAAGTCATGACTGAGAAGATGATCTCAAGCTTGTCAATCTACTTTTTAGCTGCTCAATCCTCCATAGAACCCTTAAAGGAAGGAGGATTTAACTTTATAAATCGCTTCAAAGCCACGTCTATGGAGCCTTCCAACTCACTCGTCCTCGGCCACACTAATCGAATCGACCTCTTAAGAATACTTTTCTCATAATACTCTTCATCTCTATGTCCATGCACCACAGCGTGCACATCATGTCAGGCTTCCTCTTGGTCAACCTTAGCTCTCTCAACTGTCCTACTACTCTCCCCAGGTCTTCTTCTATAGATCTCGTCATACCCATCCATTCTTCTTTAGATGTCCATCATCATACACCTCAGTTCATCCAGGGCATTGTCTTTGTTACCCTGTTGCGGTCATGGTTGTTCTCTTAGTTCACTGATTCTTGTTCTAGTCTTTGCACACTCTCTAGTGCATTTCCTACATTTATGGCTCTTATTTGCAGTATATTCTCCCCTCCTAAGGATGGAAGCAATCACAAAAAGGAAAAAGGGATTTAGCACTAGATCGGTGAGGGAAATAACAAGTGTAATAAGATATTGTCAATTCTCTATATGCAATGCACAACAAATCTCAACTACTCATTCACACAAACCACAAACTAGCTCTCAGAACCAAAGAAATTGATACCAAGTTGAAACATTCTCACTCTACTAAATATAGTTAACAAATATAACACCTAGTAATCAGAGACTTAACTCAACAAGATGATCACCTAGGTTCAATTCAAAAGTAAGGGATCTCAAGTTTTCTAAATAAAAATGAGTTAAAATCAATCAAAATCTTTCATATCAGAGTAAAAATAAGTTACAGAAGCATGGAATACCTCAGAGGAGTGAAAGAAGTCAAAAATGGTTGAAAAACAAAACATGTGCTGTGATACAGGGCAATGCGCCATAACTTATGTACACTACGCCAGGGCCTATTACTCTCTGTGCCACATACCGCAGCTTAAGCGCCATGTGCTGTGACATGTTGCATGAAATTTCTACTAATTCTACTATCATTTGATAGCAAAATTAAGAAAAATTTTGAATCGCCTTGATTCTCCATTTGACATCTAATGATCTAGGTGTCTACAAAAAGCTCTTTACATGAACTAGCTAATGGCATGGGTTTCACTTCCAAAACAAGTCACACTAGGAAGTTGGACACCCAAGCACATTTAAACTACTTTTTAACACTTTTACACAAAATGGGTGTCTAAAACCCTCAACAATTGCCAAAAGATTTTCCTAACACCTGGACCATGTCCTATGGACCTAGGACTACTAGTACAACACGTCACAAACACTAAAACATCAGTATAACAAAAATTCACTCTTCAACCTCATTTTACTAAAAACTGAAGGGTAGGTAATTCGCCATTGCAACTCACCCAAATCATTCAAAACATGTTCAAATCATTATTTCTACACTTGCACTAGTCTTTTGGCCTTATAAACATATACACACACATACACACACACATCAACATACACAAAGACTAAGGGCCCAAAATACAAAACTAACATTTCCAACCATAAAATAATGCAAGTGTGATGGTATGCATCCTAGAATTGGCAATTCATATACTATTACACAATTAAATCTAAACTAGAGGCATACAGTAAGAATATGTTAATTCCTTGCCTCTTTAGCCTTCTCCCTCTCAACACTAGAGCTAAAGCCTAAAAGTGTCAAATGAAAGGGGTAAGTCTAGCCACTCAGTAACAGAGGTTAAACATACCCTATACAGTTATATATCAATTATAAACCAAATATATGCACAAGAAAATCAAGTATGTAAGACATGCTGGCATCTATCATATCTTGTAATTTATCATTAAATAACTTCTTTAACTCTCATAACTAGGTACATTATCACCATATTCTCATATATGTGACACGACCCATACTCATGCGACTTGCCACCACTTAACATGTGTGACACGTCATATATTTACTTAGGCAATGATCAACTAACCTTATATCCTCCTTATTTCGTCAGACTGAAACCATGGGCTATAACACTGATTAGGGCTTCATCCGTGTGATTGGACTACCCAAGCTCACCAGTCGTGAGGTATGACCTGGCCAAAGATCATAAGACTCACTCTCAGACCATGGCTTCCCCCATTCTCAAATCCCTAGGGTATCTCATACCCTAGGCTATTCTCCTCATTGAATCAATAGAAATAGCTAGGTTCTAGTCCCTCAACAAACTATGAGATAATCCCTCAACAAACTATGGGACAAGGCTATACCCCCGTGTACTGGAGGGCAGCCTAAATACCATATAGATTTTCTCTACTCCTAATCCCTAGGTAAACTCCTGCCACTGATCATGCCATAATCAATACTCGCTCGTTTTCAACTTTTTTGCTTTCATATACTTATTATTACAACAATTACGTTGGGCTCACGACTATGCACTACCCAAGTATGTATTCTTATCATTTTCTCAAAATTCATTTCTCATTAACACACATCTATCTCGCATAATCATCGCATTCATTTTTCTAAAGATATATGCATAGTCATATTCAAAACATCTTAATTAGGCATTTGCATTTCAATTCAAAATTACTGTATGCACATCCAATTTTCCATACGCTCATTGAAACTAGCACATGCTTTTCACATTGAAAATTAACCCATGCACGCCATACTCACAATAAAATTCCATTTACAATCAATTAATATATAACTACCTAAAGTAGAGTTTCCCTTAATTACCTCAAACCTTTAAGAGGTCAAAGGTTTACCCTTTAATCTACTAGCTTTCAAGCTTGAATTTCTAATTCAATAGGTAACCAAAAGCCAAAACTACTATCAACCAAGTTGAGTTTTATCAACATAACCAACTCAAGCATTTGAACCCTCAATCTCTACTTTTAAATTGCCCAACATTCACTGTACATGAGTTAAAGCCTATCAATTGGGTTTAATAATTACCTTTAGCCCCTAATAGCATTAATGAGCCATTAAATCCCCATTAATGGCATCACAAACTTCTAACCACCTATAATAAATGAGATTTTCATATATTAATGGTGTCCAACAATCTAAGACACCAAAACACATTATACATAGGTTTAAATACTTTAATCTACTCCCATTAACTCCATTTGAGTCAACAAATTTGGACCCATACCCTATATGGATTGAAATCACCATCCTCATCTAAACCCTAACTCAAATCCTTGAGAAAATGGAAGAGGAAAGGAGGAAAAGGGCTTAGAAATCTTACTTGGATTATTTAAAGCTTCAAACCTCCTCAAATTCTCATCTAAGTTATGCCCTAGCAGAGTATTGGCGCATCTCTCCATTTTCATCTTTTCTTTCTCCCTATTTCTGTCTCATTTCATGTCTAAGAAACTGTAGAAAATATCTATACGCTACGGTGAATGCATAATGCATCGCGGCACATGGCACAGAGAGGTCCTCCCTCATTCAAAAATGTTTGTGCACCGTAGGGGACTATCTCTGCGCTGTGGCGTGTGGCACAGCAACATCAACATTTTCTTTTGTTCTCCTTTTGATGGTCGGGTGGCCATCTTAATACCAGACCCACAACTAGGGCTGAAATACCATCAAATATGATTATTAGACCTCTCTGGCCACACACACCACTTTAACTTACTTCATTATCCTAATTAGGTTTAATTAATCAGGGGATTAGAAGTCAGGATGTTAAAAAGAAATTTGATAGATTATTCGTCCTAAAGGGAAGCAATGATATCTTGATTATTATAGGGAAAGAAGAGCATCATGGATGTTTTAGGGGATTTGGATCAAGGGCGAGCATTAGAGATGTATTTGGACCACCTTATCAACGCCATTCTTCAAGACTTATGACTAGGGAGGAGTTGGATGTCATGTTAACTCAATCAAGGGTTAAGGTTGAGGCCACTCTTGAAGCCAACCTACAAGAGACAAAGGAAGAAATCATAATGATGATTGTGAGCTCAATCAAGGAGTTAAGTGACCTATAGACCTACTCCCCTGCTTGTCATCCAAGCACTAAAGGGAGCAATATCATTATACTTCCTTCAGAGGATGACTTACTCCAAAGAGTGAACTATGCTACTTGTATAAGGTGTTGGATAGGGAAGCACAACGGAAGATTAAAATTTTAAATTTTCTATCCTGATATGAACCAAACGAAATCATTTAAGTCAAGGTCGAAAGAAGAGTTACCTTTTTTTTGCTTCACATGTGTTCTCTTTAAGAGTGTGGATCTTAGGAGCTAACAATGTAGATTTGCTACCTCTATCTGTATCTACACAAACAACTTGGATAACGTGTTAACACTCCCAACGTTCGTTTGTCTTTAAATGTCAGTTTACTTTTTTTCTCTAGGGTGTTTCGTGCCTCTCCAAGTATTTGGCTGTCAGAACTTTTCTAACTCTCTTAAACTCATAAAGCACATCCTTTTTCTATCTTATTTATAGATTAGGGTTTTGCTTTCCTTTAATAAGCCAATGAAAATATTAGATTAAATTTATCTCATAAATAAAATATATAATATCATATCTAATTTAAATTTATCTTATAAATTTAAACTATAAAATTGATATGATATTCTCTCATATGATATTAGTTATTAAATTTAATCTATCATATAAAATAAAATTTAAAACTAACACAATATAAATAATATATTCTCTTTATTT